GGACCGATGCTCGGGTACCTCCTGTTTCTGGTCTTCATGCGGAATGCCGCGAGGGCGCTATCTGCAAAATTCCTACTCCTTGCCGATGCTCCAAAATTATAGCGTGATATCACCACATTGGAGCATCACAAAACCCTGCAAGACGATCTGGATAAAGCGTATACATGGTCCATCGAGAACATGCTGCAGTCCAAGGCCACTAAAGGAAAATTGCTGAATATACACCATCAGATTACTCACAATTACCGGTTAGGACCACGAATTCAACAGTGGGCTTCTCTTGAGTGCGACCTGCATGTACTCGTGTAAGTTGTCAGGTAGTTTGAAGTAGACGGAGAAGGTACTCATGAAAGCAAGTAAGCACTTTCGTCTCCTTTGTGGAGCGTTCTGTAGATTTGCCACGTCTTTCCGCAAAAGCTTGACGCGTACGTAAGGCCGCATGCGGAATGCGTTATCCAAGTGTGATAACCCTTGCAGAAGTACCGCGTCACCACCCTCCATACTGCACAATGCAAAGCGAAGAAGAACAGAGGTTTTTCCTACCTTCCCTACACACTCAGGATGAAAACTCGGAAGATGTGCGTTTGACATTATCGGCGTCTATGGGGAAATCTCATAATGGCGTACCGGATCCTAAAAACCCCCAACCTCACATGCCATCATCTTTTGAAACTCATCTCCGGGAGGTCCTCAGTTTGTTGGTCACATAGTACAGTTAAGTGGAATGTCGACGAAACGTTTTTGCCTAGTGTCATAGACCTAGAACGCCCTTCCAGCGTATGTACTTAGTGCCCTCACCTTATACCTATTCAGAAAACGCCTTGACAATACCCTGATAAATTTACACTATGTAATATAACACATGATCAGCAGATGATGGCATTTTTGCAGAACAAACACTGGACCGTGTCATGATCCTCTTAAACTCAACCAGAGATAATCTTACCTGTGCTTCACTAAACCTCTTGGTGAGTCATCTCTCTCGCACCTCTTTACCTACACTGTTTTCTTATCGTGTACTTTGCATCCTATCCATTCAACGGGACTTGTTAAGCACTCAATGTATACTCATCATAATTCATAACCTATGGTCACCTTATTAGATTTGGCCAAGGTTTAATACAATGTAACAGGTGGATCCAAATGACTTTTAATATTACGATCCAAACAAACCAACAGTATTCGTTATACTCCACAGGGGATAATCTAATGGTTTCGCCCACTGGTTGCTGAAAGCATGTTGTATGAATTACATTTGTTTTGAGCCGTAACGAAAACAATGACTGTTAGTACGTTTCATTCTGCTAGCGGAAGGATGTCAGTTGTTGTGTCCATGTACTACAAAAACTTTGATAATGTTTATGACAGACCCTGGACATTTGATCGAAACTTTCGGAAAAGATGGCAACACGGATGCTAACTGCAGCCGAACTCCGTAACGGATAAGGACATTCCATTTAAACGGATTCAATTAACAGCCTAACGGAAATTCACCATTGGACCGTTACCATTTGTGTAATATCTTCACTGAAATTACACTTATCGATTCCACTTCGAAGAAGTTAGTTTAGCCGCTGGCCTCGAATATGGGCAGTTGGACGTAGCATACCATCTGCCAAGAGACTGCAACTGAGCCCACCGGAATCTACCTTAAAGCGAGAGTGTGGCTATAAATTACAATCCTCTTAGCTAAAACTGACCTAAAGAACTACCCACTTGACTGAGAACAGTCTTCGTCATTTAGTTCTCCGTTAATCTTCACAAACCATCTAATCAATCGTACTACATGACTTGTTCTCTATCGCCACCCTCTAAGCCAATTCACCTAAGGCTAAGTCATCGCAGTATCCACACCAACGCGGTTATAGTACCTTATTTTTAATAGCTCTTTCATACCTGCTTACTGGCGTAGGTAAATACAAACAGGTTAAAGACGTTTCACTTCGGATATTATTGTTTCTCAAACTACCATATGGATAAATTAGACCCACCCTTCCCACCAAAGACTTTTGTCATCTGGAGCTGCGATAAAACGAATTGCTTTTAAACTGGTGATACTTCGTCACACAATGCAGTTGCTAAGCAACAATTAGTCCCATTCACGACATGCAGATGACACATCAATGGCCTCCAACTGAAACATCTGCTGTATATGCATAGAAAGGAAAGCGAACAATTTCCTTCTTAAGTGTTGGTGCAAGAAAGTATACACCTGACTGGTCATTGTGTTTGTTGTTTCTGGATCAAGTATGCCCGTGTTTACATGTCTAAAGTCGGTTCGCAAACACTGCAAATGGTAAGTGGGAAGTTCAAATAATGTTCAAATAATCAGACAACACGATATTATTCAATGGTCACTAATGCAATGTGCTTCGTATCGCAGAGCGATTTTGCACTTCCACTGACGAGTAGCATTAGAAGAAGCTGGGTACTATCGCAATTTATCCACTTCACGCTTTCATTCCGTTTTCAAGGTGAAATGAGGCAGAATAGTCCCACACTGTTTAGTGTTCACTTCCGGCTGCCAGCCGAAGAAGCATTTGCCCACTTAAATCTGGTTTGCATATGGGTTAGGCAGCTTTGGTCTTCCTTCCATATCCGGCTTAGCCAATGTTCTGCAACTTCTCCAGCTCTCTGTTTTGTACACAACCCACTCAATTGTCAACAAGCGCAATGAAGAAGTGCTTGATATAGTGTTCAACAAACAGTGCAGGAAATCCACAGCAATCGTTCTTACAATATAATAAAAGAATGTGGACAGCTACCCCTCCATATGGTATTCTGCCAGTAGCCAACCTTACTGTTCCGTTAGCGCGAAAAGCGAGCCTATTGGAGTTCCTACAAGTTAAAGAATTTTCATTTTCCCAATCGCACTTGTTAGTTCGCTTGGAGTGTCACATGTATCGCATCCGTCTAGCTGAAGCAAACAGCAGTTTATCGCTGTACTGACCTGCTTGGAGTGAATGATGAGGCAAGTTCAGTCTCCCATAACATTGCATGGACAGGGTTGATGGTGCAAAGTGCCGGCAGCGTAAGAGCTAGTCGGTGTGCCACATTATTTCCATCGTCAACAATGCGACCTCAATATGCGAGCTCGTTAACGGAGGATGAAATCCTCGGGCTTGACCGTTCATTCTATAGGTTTAGGTGTCGTCATGATCCTGGTGTTGAAAATCTACTTTCAGTTGTAAAACTACTGCATAAACCCATACATTTTAACATTCACTACTAGTGATTATGAAGCAGGAAGTATTGTACGACGCCATTACATGGAGAAACAAATAAGAGAATCGTCTGAGTTGCCTCGATTACTTGCCACGTAGGTTTATTCCCCACCTTTCAAAGACGGTCCTCCCTTGTTTAGGAGATATTAGCTGGAACAGGACTGCAGAGGTTCAATAGTTACTTTAACAGTGAAAAATGTAATATTTGTCAGCTGAACTGGATGATGCTACTTTGTCTGGCCTTCCAAGTTGGAGTCCACATGGTCCAACGTTAACTTGGTGTGAAAATTTAAGGGACATTGTGTGCAGCCGGCAATACTGCAGCGCGTACTACAGTCTCTTGGTCGACATACTTGCCTAAAGAGTGCCTGATGCCATGTTGTCTGTCTTGTAAGTATCATTTTGCCGCAGTCCAGTACAAGCCGTAATCACAACTACCTGCTCATGACCGTAACTTGTTAACAATGTTTAATAACCCTTAATCTGGTTGTTGGCTTAGGACTAAATTTCACGCTAGGTCCCATTGACGCTCTTTCAACTTTTCCAGTGCATGGATAATCATATGTACAGCGAAATATCAACTTAACTAGCTGAAGCACTGCTGTTGAGGAATAAGATTGTAGGTCAAGTGAACCAGTTCAATGGGCGAAATGACAGAATTTCGATCACGCTTGAGTTAAGCATAATTAGTGGCTGCGACCGAGACACAGTTGATCTCAATCTGGAGCGAGGTAGACTGACGTATGTGCATATTTGCAATACAACACCTGCGCGAGCGAATAACCTAGTGGGCCCATTCGCCAAACATCATTCTATAAAGACCCAATATTAAACAGCCATTAGCATGAATGCGGATTCTACTTTCCAGGGTTGATTTTGCATGTAGGTTAGTTATAACGGTTTGCATTTCAGGGGTCTACACTTTAACCTTCCGAGCAAACTACCTCATGAAGGTAAAATCTATCCGTTTTCTCTTTCTGCCTAATGACCTTGGAAGGAGGGATTTATCCTTCAAAGACCGTCTAAGGCAATTATCAACATAACGCAGGCAAGCATGATAATTGTGACAAGACAAACCAGTGGAACATTGCAAAATTTGGATATACCTTAGTTCCCATGATGTGTCACAAAGCGCTTAATGGTTTAGCAGAAAGCAGTAGTATTCTAGAGACATCGTTTGCTACCAGTTGAATTTCACATTTTACAGTCTAAAAACGACATGTCCACTCGCAATCCATCCTTTCGTCATGGATGACAGCAAGACTGTCACGGATTTAACGACACCAATGATAAAATGGATTTTAAGTCTTTTAGTATACTGTCTGCAGCCCATCAGTCAAAATATTTTATGGTTTTGCATGAAGTGTTGGCGCATTCTCCATCCTGTTATGTCCCCAGTATGTTTACTCTCTTGCCGATTACTGAGGCCAAATTTGGTTACTTTTGAAAGTGGTGTGATTGTCAAATATACTATTGTACCAGCACTGTAGTCAAGCTCCTGCAATTGGCCCATCGGTTTCAGACGGTACCAATTTACTTTATTGTGCACTCAAAAAGAGGACTAGTGACATTCCGAACCCTCCGCTTTTGGTCAATCTGCTTAACGCCATTAGGTTGCACTGATAGGAGAAAAGTTCTCATATATCGACAGCCACAAATAACTGCTTGACAAAGATACAACATGTGTATATAGCAATCGAAAGTCTCTTGTTTCCATCAGTCCAAAATATGAGACCATTGATAGCTTGATTTTCAACTATGAAATAACTAACTCACCACAAACTGATTGGAAGACAAGTACTCATTCACGATCTTAGAGGAACACGGTCTCGAGTAGCGTCCGGGATTTGGGTCCAAAAATTCCATCTGTCTGATCGGCGTCGATAGCGGTAGCCTCCAGCATACCGTGGACATAGGCCTCCAAGACTCAGATGCAGTGTCGGTGAAACTGTCGTTAGTAGCGCCAAGAATATCAACAGTGCGCCCCGTCGAACTCTCATTTTCACGTGTGTCTGACTCGTCAGGATTTTCTGTGGTCTCGATCGTTGAGAGGTCAGGACTGTCTCTCCTCGGTAAAACAAGGTGCACGGGTAAAGTCGGATGACTCCAACATGGAACAGTAGATACATTGCATTTTTCAAAAACCACACTACGGAAGGTGTCATGTGAGGACTTCGTAGACGGGTGTGGACGTCCATCCAGCCCAATTCTACGTGGCGCATTCATTCAAGTCAACCACATCAACTGAAACGTACGCGATGGTTTTGCTTCTCCTTTCGACTCGGAATAACATAGTATGTTATCACGAGGACAAACAAGAGTGTGATAATTCACAGAACGTGTTACACGCTACCAAACATCCTAATGAACAACTACTACAGGTAAGAGCACAGGGGTGATTAAGGGGAGTAATTATTTAAGTCTAACCTTTCTTATCCTCGCGGGAACAGGTGCAACTTGCCTCGTAGCAGCCAATGAGTGAGTGGGAAAATACAGACACGTACTAGTGCTAGTCGAACGGACAGCTATGCGTAGATGAGGCCGGAGGACACCCAATGGAGTAGTATGTCGCATTTTCGTATATGCATGAATAAAGCATTGATAGGGTATGAAAGATTGGTATGCTGGACTGGACGAGCTAACAGCCTGTCAGCGGCATCGTCATAGCAAGCTGGATCAGTCAGGTTACTAGGCGATTGTGTTTTCTTCATATATGTACTTAGTGACAAACTGAAACCACTGGTGATAAAAATCACATCGCAATACTTTTGGGGTCGACCCTTATAACAAGGTTATTGCGAGATCGAATAAGTCAAAACAACAGTAAATAAGTCTTTCTCTATTTAGGGCTTGGTTTATATATGGATACCCTGCTCCTCTAAACTTTCGTTCGAAACCCTCTTCAACCCTTCAAGTTGCAACCAGCTGATTTTAAGTCCGTAGCATCAATACTGGAATAGGTAATTCACGGTTTATGTCAACGGGATATCGTTGCAAACAAATGTTTTGTACCACGGCAACGGTATACACGTGCACCTGTGAGCTGTTTGTGGTACGCTGACGCAGCCTATTTAAAAAGATCAAGTCAGTGCATTGTAAGAGCTAGATACGAAACAGTAAACAAAACAATCGTAGTGGAGCAGCGGCTTCTGTGTGTGTCTTCACCTTTTCATCCACATCAGTTTATAAGTAATACAAGCTGCGCATTGGTTAGCCACAACTCCTATTTGCCACGGTGCCCGAGGAATTTGCTTAACCACATGGCGGCAGCGAAAACATTGAGCAATGGGAACAATCCAGAGAGTTTGGCGGAATTACTAGTGGCGCACATTTAAACGTTCTTGTTTACCTGATTGATCACGTATATCGTGTGTGCTACCTTCCTGATGTGTGCGTTCGTCATAGTAAGCTTTAACTTTAATCAATTAACGTGTCGATGTTACTTTTCGTAGTGCCTGTTCCCATATCACCTCTTATTTTTTGTTAAAGCGATATAAGATCAACTGAACAACCAAGCAACAGTTACGCTGCTTATCCCATTCAATCTAATGGATACATAGTTGTTCCATTAGTTTGCACTTAGATCTGCCGCTTGGTTATGACTTGTGACCCGAAAAAAAGACTGATATGGTAGAACTCCACTGTGGAACAACGGAACAATGGTGTATTACGGGTAAAAAAGCAATGAATTATAAGTCCAGTAGGGTGGAACTTATTGCGAAAGTTAAAATGCATGATAAAGTGAAAAGCGTTTTGGTAGACTCACCATAGACTTATGTAGAATAGCGTGGATGATGGCACATTAAAAGTATTAATCCCCTAAGTTCATTGGTTGGGAGTCTGGTAGGACATGGTTTGATTACGTTTTATAGTCCCTGGCTAACAAGTCATAAAATGTAATGCAAATGAGGCAACGCATCGTCAGCTCGTTTTTAAATATCGCCAGATTGGGAGCAGAGACGAGATAACTAGGGAGGGCATTCCATAGCTGGCCCACGGAGAGGGAAAAGAAATTTCTACGGTATTCATACCGGCTATACGGTATTTTCAATTTCAAAGGATGACCTCTTGGGTTAGTTTTGTGGTTCAATTCCAGCAGCGGACGGCAAATGTGGTTTGGGTTCTTCAGAATCTTGTAAACCATTAGGAGATCCCCCGCAAAAGCCGATATTGACATTCTTAACGTTCCGTCGAAGCTGATAAGACAGAGGAAATAGGCCCCTGACGTTCTCTGTTGCCTTTCGTTGAGGAGTCTCGAGATCAACGAGATCCTGCTTCTGCCACGGCTGCCACGCCTGGATAGCATATTCCACATGCGGTCGCAAGTAAGCGTTAAGCATTTGGGAAAAGATTGTGGGTTCATGCCGACCGAATGCTCGGCTGAGCAAGCCGAAGTGTTAATTGCAGGTTCAGGTCGCCTCGTCTGCTTATTTTGAACACCCCAGAGCTTCCTGTACCAATAAACCCAGGTCACGCTTTGAGACGCCTTCTGCAAGTTGTGGTCCCCAAGCTTATAATCACTCAACGGCTGGTGACGCAGATGGATCACCTTACACTTAGCTATGTTCAACTGAAGCACGTTCCTTTGACCATTCATAAATGCAATCTAGGTCATGTTGGGGTAGATCGTGATCTGGCTTGTTACCTATCGCCCACCATATCTTGAAGTCAGCTGCTAAAAGCAGGAAACTTGAGGACATAACTCTTGCCAGGTCGTTGATAAACACCAGGAATAAGCGCTGTCCCAGCACTGAGCCTTGTGGGACACCACATTCCACCACAATCGGAGTAGAGATTGATCTCCTAACACGTACTTGATGCTTCCCTTGGTGAAGAAAGTTGCCAGTCCAACCAAGCACAGGATCTCCGATTCCGTAGCTCTGTAGCCGGTGAAGTAGGGTGTGGTGATCCAGGCGTTTGAAAGATTTGGAGAAAACCAGATAGATGACCTCAACTCCGACCTCATCGTCAGCCACTTCCGTCCAACTACCTCGTGCAATCAGTAGGTTGCTGATGCATGACCAGTGTTGACGGAAGCCATGCTGCTCCGGTGCCAAGGTGTGGCATTTTCCAGGTAGTCCATTAGAGCCTCAGCAACGACCACTTCCATTACCTTCGCGAGCACAGGAAGGAGAGTCGCTGGGTGATAGTTTGCAGGCTCTGAACGGCTACCGTCTTTGAAAATTGGCGTGATAACGCCACGCTTCCACAAAGTGGGGACTTGTTCATCAAAGCATCTTTGGAAGAACTGTGACAGTGGTTCAGCTAGCTTGTTGGCCACAATCTTCAGTGCTTTTGGGCGGATTTTGTCAGCTCCAGGAGAGGTATAGTCGCGCAGTGAGAGCCACTTCCTTAAAACAATTGATTGGTTGAAAATTACATGTGTAAACCATGGGGTCGGTAATATGCATGACATTATGGGACAGGTCGAGGCTGCGAGTTCGAAAATTGGGGCGCATTGTAGCCACAGAACATTAGCTGCTTCTTGTACTCTACAGCCTGTTGTGAAAAGTTGAGGGATGCATGCTTCATTTGACGAAGTTTTTGACATGCTTATCCAGCCTTTTGTCGTTTGCCAGGAATATTTTGGCCAAGCACTGTTGATAAGTTACTTTTTCCTCATGGACAAATGCAGTGCGATGGTTGCGATGGGTCAGAAAATTGCCCCAAGTCTCTAAGTCGGGGTTAACTTTGTAGGCACACCATGCTAATCCCTTATCGCCAGGCAGTTTCGAGTCCTGCTCTTTAGAATTGCAGGCATTTTAGCGGGACGAAGTGGCTTGGTCTCTGATGCTCTGTTGACGATGTCACTGAGTCAATCAAAGAACTCTGTCCAAACGTTGTCAAGGGAACTGTTGTTTGAGAATTTCAAAGCAGATGCGTCGACGAGTTCTTTCAATACGTGGTAGCGTGTGATTGTATGAGTTAGTTCCGAGTGTTCATATGGATACTCTGCATAACACACATTGTGGAACATTATCACTACGTGCTCACTGAGACCTAATGGACTATCCACCGATAACTTTTCATTCGTGAGCACAAGGTCTAATATGGACGGTTTGTTTGCTGTCCTGAATCTAGTAAGCGTGGTGACATGATTGTACAATGGAATATTAAAGATCAGCTCATGCAATTCTGCTTTGAACTTTTCACTGGGTGATACCGATACCTCCAGATCATGTAGATAGTAGTCCTCGACGATGAGAATATGGCTATACCTAGTGCAAGTTACTCTGTTCAGCGCACGTATCCAGCAGGAATCCATTTCTGCCGTGGACGTTGGGGGCGGTAAAAGACATGTATGAGACATGCGTCGTTGTGTCTTAGTCAGAGACGGCAACAGAGTGAGTCGGTAACCTGAGTTTCCAGATCATCAACTATTGCACATTGCAGGTCGCTGCGGTAGTAGAGAAGGACCCCACCTCCTCTGCTGGGACGTTAGTTCTTGATGAGTGACATTCCGGTTACCTCATTCTCAGCATCAGTCACCTCATGGTGTAACCAACTTTTGTTAACAAAAATTAGGTCCCAAGCATTCGCAAGCTGACGTAGCCGAAGTTCGGTAAGTTTACTGAGGAACCCTTGGACTTTAGTGTACATATATGAAAGTTTCTCAGATTTAAGCAATGTTTTGGAGGTTGTGCAACTCATACGTGAAGTTTCACCGACCAGTGAGTGGCCGATGATTAATCGTCTTTATGGTGTGTACTTGGAGAAAGGTTTAACGTCATATTTATCGTCCGCGTAGTTAGTCCCGTGTCGAATCTTCTACGTACAGTGGAAGGTGTCTGGTTAATTTCATCTTCTACAAGTTGTTTAGGCTCATTAGACACACTACTGGTGCATTGTCCTTTTATAAATCCTACCGCGTTCGGTTCTTTGAGCGATATGTCATCTCTAGTAGGCATATCGCTGACTGTTTCAGCCGAACCTCAGATGTTAGCCTGCAAAGAAAGATGTACCTGCTTCTTAGCAGCCGTACTACCATAAGTTTTGATTGCAGTACCACGTTCAACACTCTCGGGCCACTTCCTTTGTAGTTGGGTGGGGTACGCAGCCATGACACGGAGTTCGTTAAAACATCATCCAAGCAGAGTGTTCCATGAATATAATACCACTGCTCTTTATCATAGGTTATTATTTAATTCTCATCACATGCTTCAGTTTCAGGAACCCCGTGGACTAGTATGGTTCTGGTTGAAGTTTTCTTCCGGTAGTCCCATAAGGTGTGGTTAACACGCTAACGCTGGTCGCATGGGATGTCTGGAAAGATACGGATGGAGCAGTGTTCTTTAGTGAGACTACCTGTCGACAGTAGTACTGGTACTACTTCAGTAATGAAGTTCAGCACAAAGCGCAGAAGTTTTAGTTTTCTGAAATGCTTAG